GCCAAGAGACAAACAACGAATGTAAAGGCTGCCATTTTGCTTGATGAAATGAAATGGAAATAACAGTCAAAGGATATGCTGTGGTTTTGACACGTCAAGTAACATTCACAACCTGTGACGTACCAGCTACAAATGCACTTCCAGTTTCATTACAAGATTATTTTCTTACCTTTAAAATATATTTCAACATGTCAAAATGAAATAGAACAACTGTATACACAAAATCACCGTCACCCAACAACTGCCAATCTTGAACTTGTCTTTTTTTCCAAAAATCAAAGCCACACATTTCCATTTTGTTGAAGTGAAGGCTCCTTTCATAACAAGTAGGAGGCAAAATATTCAATGCCTCGTCTTGAGGGATTCATCTACAAACTATTTCATTGTTTCTACACGACGCAAAGGGAATTTGCATATTTATCAATTATTAAATGCAACGGCCTGATTTTCTGGTTTGACTGAGAAAACAGCATAGCGAGAAAGCTATAAGAGAAAGAACGTCAAAAACAATATCCACCATTTCCCTTGCTGATATCGAATAATAAGCAACAATCGATCATAGCTGCTGGTAATTTGCCGCAGAAAAGTGTCATTATAACCGCAAATAATTCCACTTTCATTTTCAACTTCTTTGTTATCTGGTTTCAGATAAACTGCTGTTTTCCTGATTTCACAAAGACCGCTTTGACAAAGACGGCCAATTTAAACGACTGGGATACCCCCAGCCTGTGCACCAACCATAATGCTTTCCATTTTGTCCGGGGTATGCCACTCTACATGTCTTCTTACATAAGCAATGGATTCGATGATGGCTGTTTGTTTTCATCAAAGGCTAACTGAATACTTGTCAAAATGGAGGGAACGTTGTAAAATATAGACATCTAAAGTGTACCATCATTGTGCAATTCACTGTGTTCCTGTAAGACAAACCTAAAGAAACGACTAAAACAGTGCAAACATGCAGTACAACATTTTCTTTCTTTGATTTATGATAGATGTCCTGCACTTTCCTTTCTTTCCGTAAAAGTGACCTTGACCTTCTTAATTTAACTGATACACAACTTTCATCTACCTTTGTACAAGAAAACAATTTGAACAGTTTCTGTAGCGTGAAATTCTAACCAGCTGAGCGGTTACAAGATTTAGACACGAAATTGAAATTATTTTTGATGTTGTTTCCGAGTGTTTTTGCCTCAGGTCGGATCGAATGCATAATACATCTGGAAACCTGTTCACTAACCCTAATGGCTTTTGTGACGCATAAAACGGGGGTGGATGGAGTGGGTGCTAAGTTTTTTAAAAATAAGATAAATGCAATTTTAAGGTATGATTCACTTTCCTGCCTTCAAAATAGATCTAAAATGCCCCCCAAGATCGTCCTCCCTCATAAAGGCCATAAAATGTTACATGAAAAATTTCAAATCCCAAAAAAAGTCTCCATCCCCCGGAAATTCCGTTTTTGAATAAGGTATTCCTTCAGTAAACATTTCAACAAATAAACGTTTCGATAATTGTGTTTGTGACACATCCTTAAATTTCTTTACAGTTGTAAGAATAATTAACAGTTATGTCGAGGACTGCACTCAAAGGTCAGTCTCATGATATAGATTATCAAGAAGTCCGTTGCTAAATTAACACAATGCAGTTTCTGAATCACCGAACCAATACCAAAGAGAGTGACGGAAACACCTCAAAATATCATCACGAAGGTGCTGCTGGTAACGTCTTACTACGGGACAGCTCTCATCTCCATGTACTGCGAAAGGGCGATACCTTCTTGATTGGGAAAGTTCTGCTGATCTGACGTCTCGTAGATATTCCATGGAGGAGGGTCACCATTCCTTTGTTCGAGAGTTCTCCTGCCGTCTTGATTGACTTCAGGTGCCCTCTTCCTCGTACATAAGACGCAGATGATCACAAATTCCACCACAGCAGTGATTGCCAACACACCGACGCCTGCAGTCCACACATAAGGTGGTTCAGGGGGGATCTCACAACCTGAGTTGCTGCTGTCCGCCACAAGATGTCCGTCGGGGCAACGGACGATGGTCACTGCCTCACTCGTCTCGCTCTCACGCAAGTAACTGGACGCTGTACATCTTACCTGCAAGCCATCGTCACGTTTAGCAGGATTGACGACCAGAAACGTCTTGTGATCATCGGTCATCTGATATCTATCGTGCGTTGTCACTTCTGTCCATTCGGGTAGCGTGCCGTTCGGAAAAGCAGCTTCTTTTACCGACCAGGAGTAGTGCGTGGGCAATGGGACTGCGTCGGTCATGCATTCCAACTGCAGGGTTGTTGCACTGAGTATTCGTGGAATATCTTGTTTGAAGGGTGGTACAGTGACCATGTCCACGCCAAAGGGATACACTGTACAGTTCGGACCATTATTGATGTCATTGCCAGCAATACAGGTGAACCCTTTGAAAATGTCTGATTCTTGAACAACACGCTGAACGGTGTACGATTCTCCGGAATTTACCTTCAGACTGCGGATTGAGTGGGATGTCTGTGGGTGCCATGTCAGCTTGGTACGGGCGAGAGCGTTCTCCGGGACTTGACACTTCAATGTGACGGATTCTGCAACTTCAACACCTGATGATAACAACGTGCACAATGGAGTGGGCGGGTCGACTACTTTCAAATATCCACATCTTGAATACTCATCTTCAAGAGAGTCCCAGCAAGTGTAGTACCCTGTATCACCTGGTTGTACATCGTTGATCTGCAGTTGGGAGACTCTGGGATCAAACGACAGGGCCAACCTGCTTGTATCTTCGAAATGATCAGACAAGGAGCGGCAAGTTCCAATAACTTTAAAATGTCCCTCAGTGCATTGGGATCTCGAATATACCCAATGTGAAAAGGCACAGTCGTGTTCTTGATTAAAGGCGCATCTAAATGTCAACCGGCCCCCGACCTCGGCGGTTCGATTTACAGGTTCATCCTGAAAGAGGGCAGCCTCAGAAAAGGTCAATGAACAAAGAACAACCAACGCCATTGCAGCCATTTTCCTGGAGTAAATCAAGTAAAAATGACGACGAAGAAGTAGACCGTCCCTCCTGCGTTGCACAGGAAAAAATGTATTTATGTTTATAAGTTCATTCTAAATAAACGTAACTTAATTTCAATTTCATTCTTTACTTCCTGGTTCAACGGTGACAGCTCTGTGTTCGAAGCTGATTGATTTAACAGTCCTCAGCCCTCAAACAGTTAGAGGGCATAAAAGTATTAATTTACCTAGCGAAAATTTCCCTGCCTGTTATATACCCAGCATAGAAAAAGCTTTTACATTATTTTCTAGCAAGATAAATACTCCCATTTCATTTGGTAATAAACCTTTCAAACGGCTGACTATCGTCATGCGTTTAATAGACTCAGTTTCACACTTAAAAGTTAATGAGTGAAAAAAATAAACCAGCCTAAACTATTGGTCCCCAAGTAATATGATGTTCCACCTTGCTTATATTTTCACGACTATAAACCCGTCCCACTTCGTAAAAGTGCTAGCAAAACAGTTTTTCTTCAGTAAATAATATTACAAGCTCAACATTTACATTGCTTGATATAATCAAAAGTATTCGAGTTCTCCATAATCTGAAAGAGAAACAAGTTGTATTTGTTTATCTTCACTACATGTAAAACCAGTGTTCGTGCGTGAGACCCAATTAATTTTATTCGCTTATTTTTATAATTCTTCTTCCTACTTCTGGAACAAGCTCCTTTCGCTTTGCATGCAGATTTACGTGTTAAGGAAAGGCTGTGTAATCCTCCAATTCTGAAAACTTCAATACCCTCCGTAAAGAAGATATATACATGTCCATTATACCGCCCCAATGGGTTAAAGATCTCGTTTTGTCTGTACACTTACAGCTTGAGAGGGGCATGTGGCCAAGTGGTTAGGGTTTGTGGCTTTCGGTCATGGGGTTGGAGGTTCAAATCCAGCTGCTGACAGAAAGTATGTAGTGGCCCTTGGCAAGCCTCTTAATTACCCCTGCTTGCCTCTCTCCACCCGGGAGTATAAATGGGTACCAGCATTAGCTTGGGAAGCAACCTGCGACGGACTGGCATCCCATCCAGGGGGGAATAGAAATATTCTAAGTCGTTTAATGCCAAGGAAACCGGAGACAAACACAGGCCTGATTAGCCAACTTGGCTCGGACCAGACTTATGGCCTAATTGGACACATGTATCTAGCAATTCTAAGTCAGTTAATCTACAGAAAAATTCTCTACATGGATTATTGGTTACATTCATCAAAAACATTAGTGATACCGTTTAACCCATTGGGTAAAAGATTCTAGTATGGAAACTGTTTACATACATGTACAAGTATATGAGTGCATTATCTTAGGCTTCCGATTAACGACGAGCTTAATGTTTTCGTCCATCTAAGTTAGCTAGTACTAGAAGCTGTTAGCATAAATATGTGCTCGGGAAAGGACGTGATGATGAAGCAGACACAAAACAAAACCAAAGTTGCTCAAATTCTTAAAACAGTCGCTGTCGCGTAACATTAAAGCTGCTGGTATCCAGCCTCCTCTGCTTGGCAATACCTAGCAGTAAGATGTCTTTCTTTTGCCCTCGCTCCCTGGCGGCGGACCTCCAATGACATCACGCCTAACCGTCATTCGAGGCGGCGATAACTTTCTGACCACGCTGCGGTTTGCTGATGTGTTGAGGTGCTGTTGGTCTCTTTCTTCTCACACACAGGAAGCAGATGATGAGAAGTTCAGCGAAAGACGTCATCGCTAATCCACCGATGCCTATCCACAAGTAAGAAGGTTCACCATGAGAGATGTCAAAGCAGCTCGTCGAGCCTTTGACTGGACAGCGGATGATGGTCAGTGCGTTGCTGGTCTCACTCTTGCCGAGGTCGTTGTAGGCCGCACATCTTACCAGTAAACCATCATCCTCTTCTTCAGCGTTCATCAGAAGAAATCTTGCCTCGTCGGCTAGAATGAATCTTCCTCCCGTACTGGCGTTGGCCCATGATGGAAAACTTTCGTTTGTCAGAAGGGTATCTCTGAAGAACCAAGAAAAACGCACAGCTGAAATGGCTGGCTCAGCGATACATTCAAATCTCAGGAGAGTAGAATTGTCTCTGTTACACATTTGGCTATGATGAATAAGGACCGAACTAATGTAGAACGGACGGTTTGGTCCGTTGCGGATGTTGTTGCCAGCAATACACGTGAACCTTCTCACAATATCAGATTTTTGAAGAACTTGTCAAATGGTGAACGACCCACCTGGTTTGACATACCGACTAAGTACGGCGCTTGACGTTTGAGGACGCCCCGTGAGTTGGGTCGGGATGGGGGCGTCTTTAGAGATTTTACACTTCCAGGCAACAATCTGTCCCACTGTCATTCTTGGTGACAAAACTTTAAACATTGGAGTGGGCGGGCCCACAACCTTTCAATATCCACAGCCTGAAAGTTCCTCTGTACCAGAAATCCAGCAAGCGTAGTACCCTGCATCAATGGGTAGTACAAGGCCTTGTTACCGAGCGACGGGGTAAATCGACTGGGAAATTGATCAATCAGAGAGGAATGACAGGCCCTAATAGATGTTAAGGAATTCTTTGTGCATATGCAAAAAGGCGCAGTCGTAGTCTTCATTAAAGCCGCATCTAAAGACCGTCTGACCCCCAATCTCTACGATCCGATTATCCGGGATATCCACAAAGCCAGTTGCCTCTGAGCAAGCCACAAAACAAAGGAGAGCAAAGAGAAAAATAGCCATTGTTATTGAAGGAATCGACCAAAAATGAGGTAGGGCAGGTTCTGAGCTCTTGCGTTTCTGACTAGTTTTTGCCTGCTAAAAATGATAAACACCAACATTTCACACCGAATTATATTTACAGTACATCTTAAGTTTCGTATACAGTACATCTTAGGTTTCGTATGCCGGAATTTATTTATAATGCATACAAATCGCCTCTCGATGGAAACAGGAGCTTTCATTATCAGTGAGGCCTATGCACAATGCTGGATTCAAATTTACTGGGGGGGTGTCTCTCATGTACAGGATAAAATTTATAATAAGCGTTTTCTGTTATAAATGATAAATGATCAGAACTCAATCTCTAGAACACTGAAGTCATTTCCTAAACCCTCGCGCTTTGCGAGTTCAGATAAGATTGTGTTGGTGTCTTCAAGAAAGCCTTTTTGAGTTGTGAATTGAGCTGTACTTGAAGTTCAATCAACATCAAATTATTTTGTCGATCTAGCTCGTAAAATGGGGGTTGTTTCCAGACATTTCGCATGAATTTATACGAATCGCTTTAAAAAGAGAAACACAAAGTGGGTTTTGCTTGTCAAAAGCTAACAAACAAGGCACAGATTTGATAGATTACGCCAGCAGAAACACTCCGTCATCGGTTGAAAAGAGCCATGAAGGTGAGAAGTGTTAATTTTGATAGTGATACAACCACAACGCGTGCATTTCTTAGTCGTTCGTGAACCAGTAAAGTGCATTTCCCAACAAAATGAACAAAGGACCCTTCGTTGCTAGGTAAATTGCTTGGTCCAGCTCGGGGCTGACAGACTGCTCTAGCCCGCCATTCGTATTGGCAGAATTGTTACCCTTGGTCGATGTCAGCTCTAACTTCTAAATATACATTTCCCCATTGAGTGAAATTTGGTACCGCTGTTTATTATTTGATTATTTTTTTTAATTATTTTATTATTATTATTTTATTATCTAGGTGAGATTTTTTCAACGTTTGGTAACGCATTCTGTCGCTTTTGTACAGAACGCTATGCCATGGTTCTTAATAGCTACACTATATCTGCGAGCAAAATTATGACCACGACGTGGAAAAAAAGCAGCAAACAAACGAAGATCACCTGCTTCAACTCATCTTGGGGTTTTCAAGCACAACGCTGCACGACGCGAATCTTCGTTCTTATACACGCATGAACAGAGTAATGTATGATACGTCGACACTGGAGATTTCCAACAAATGCAGTTTTAAAAGAAAAGAGTTCACTGTTGAGAGAGCAACTATTACAGCTCAATGGCATTGGTCGTGATTTGTCAGATGAACAAACCCACTGCACAAACTTTCCAAATCAAAACCTGTCATGTTTTAATTGCAAAACCAACGTACGCACGAGGAAAGTCCTATACAAGATATCATTCCGAGTTACCATGGCCCTGTAATTTTGACTCCAGTAGCGAAGCGAAAGAAAAACAAAGCCTTTTGAAATACAGTGAAGGTGTTATGTCACTTCAGTGAATGTGTTCTGAGGGATTAGTTGCTAAAATGGCGGCTCCTGCATTCCCTCTTGCTGTAATGTGCATGCTGTTTGTTTTTCACCTTGCACAAGGTAATTACACCGCTGTACCGATGTTAAATGACAACTGGACGGCAGCGTCTTCGGAAAACGTATCGAAGATCGGAACAAAACACCTGATCGCAATAGATGTGTGTTTGCTGTGGGATAACGAATCAAAGAACGATGGTGAATTGGAAATCGCAGACGTCGTCCTGGTATGTCGTGCCGTTGCTTCGGATCTTGAAGTTACTTGGTTTGTGGAAACAGACAACGGAACATGGGAGGAGGCTGAAAACAGAAGTTGTTTTGAGGCAAACGGTGCAACTTTAAGGTTACCGTGGATTGACGCGAAAGACAGCACATACACCTTGAAATGCGGCTCTGCCACACATGAGATTGAATCCCGCATCGTTGATTTCGAGCAAAACTTGCCGATTCCGTGTGAAGAGAACCATCATGAGATCCCAACTCGCAGCTTTCATCTCGTGGTCTACGTGTGGATTGCCCTGGGGATCTTCATAGTCTGCGTCTGTATCGTTGGTGGGTACTACGCTGTAAAGTGGCGGAAATCCTTTGAAGTGAATGCACCCTGTGGACAGAACGAGGCGGTAGAGTCGGCTAGAGGAGAGACTAGCGTTGACGATCCTGTGGCTGCATACAGCACTCCTAAGTCTGCCCTGAACGACGACACTGCTTCAGTTACAGACGCAGTACCAGACGTCGAAGAGGAGCAGAAACATGGTGAGGAAGTACCGCGTGTGAAGAAATTCGTGGGTGCCGGCTGGACCGACGAGCGACCATACGTCAACGTTTAGCAATAAATCCTACACAGTTCTAAGTCACTATAGTGTACTTCAACTTCATCATTTTTACGGTACAACCACGACACTAACGTGACAGCTAGGACGTGGGACTGAACTCTTTCTCGAAACCTAGTCCACCTAATAATCGTATCAATTTCGACCCCCATAATAAGGGCAGATTCAGAGGTGGAGGGCACAGGGAGCTCCCTTTCTATAGGCCAAATGTGATTGTCTTCTATTGTTTTTTTTTTTTCTAGTGAAGGATGAGATTAAAGTTACTCTCACCGAGTAAATATCCCATGTTGTGTCGAGCAAAGTGCATCCTGCCTTCCCTTTAACTTCAGCGACCAAGGCCGAATGATTTAAGTACATTTCCTCTGGATATGTCTCAAAGCACTACATTTCACATGCAACAGGGATTGTCCCTGCACGATCAAGAGTAGGCCTACGGAGTACAGCAAGAGTACAGCATGACCTAAATTACACAGAGACCGAAATCGAAACTTATAGGCCTACCATAGCTTCTCCTCAGTGGGCTTAGAAAGCTCGAGCACCGTACAATCTGAAAGCCGTACCGAAAGCATTGTACCAGCTACGTACATGTACATTATGTAAACTACACATTATGTACAACAGTATCGCCCTGCAATTTCGAAGATCTTCCGGAGTGTGTATGCAGTTAATTTATGCTGTGAGTCATCTATGTCAAGGTTCAGAAGGCGATAAAAATCAACATGTGGAAAGCTGGCATATGATTTGACCATCAACCTCCCAGTTCAGAAATGTCTGTGTCAAAACGACCACTTCTGTGCAGATGTCGCATTGCAGGGTGCTGTAAATGGTTTAATATTTTGTAAAACTGTTCCCAAAACACAATTCAATTTCACATTTACATGTTAATGCATTTGAAATTAACTCCGCATTAACAAGGAAGAACGGGAACCGCATTAACTCTCTTCTAAAGAAACTTGCACTTTAGTCAACTGATACATGTACAAATGTACTGTTTAATAGACAACCGTGTTGAAAATTTTAGGCGGTTTTTCCCTTGTTCATACCTTTGAAGATCAGTCAAAACTATTTCAGTTGCCAGGAACATCAAATGTAAATACTTCTTTTAATATAATTAAAAGGACGGATCAATATACGTGTAACTTTATTTGCACAAACGACACTTCAATAAGGACGGAAAACTGTAGAAAATACATGTATCACTAAGTATAAAGAAGAAAACTGAAATGAGATATTAGAGTTAAAGCAAAAAGAAGTCAATTTGTAAATGAAAAGTGCATTACCACAAAATGTCAGTTGGATCTTTAAGTAGTCATTTGTTATAACAGACACCCATGACAAAATTAATGTGCTAAGGATATATTTTCATGATATGTAACTAACCTCTAGAACTCTGCAATCAGTTATCGCATAATTTAGCAAAAACTCTGAAGTTTTAAATATGTATCTATATTTCTAAATAATAAATTTTACTGCGTGTACATGCGTAGGAAACTGCTTTTTAAGACTTAAGATGTCACAAGTAAAAAGGATGCAAATATGAGAGGCGGTGTCAAGGATAACCAAAAGTCACATCCAAGGTCCGAATCAAGAAAGTATTCTTTTTGGCACCTAATGAAACATCTGCTCCGGTAGGTGTCATATGACTTGCACAAATTGTGATGGTCTAGAAAATGGTGACTTTCTCGGTAACGTTCCAGGTATTGCACATGATTGAGGATCATTTTGTGCGACATAATTTTCAAAAGAGAAACACACATCACCTGTTCGTTCTGCATAAATTCTAGTACAGCAGAATGAAAACTCTATCATTTTACAAGAATAGTTATTATTATTATGTATAAAATACAATAAATTAGCAACTTACAGCTGTTTTGTTCACTGTTCTACAACTTTCCTGAGTATTATTTATATGAAAAAAATTTACATACTAAAAAATTCCACCTACATGTACATGTATACAGCAATGTACACGTGTTTCACTTTACAAATTATAATGGAAGAGCAAAGGCCAAATCCAAAATTAAAATGGAAGATTCGTTAAAATTGTATGGGCATGATATTTCATTACAATGTATACCGTACATTGTAGCTTCGATGCATGGACTGTTATGTTAATTATCAATGTTTATAAATGTACTGTATACGTGTACAAGTATTGTAAGGAGTTATTGCAACCTACGTAAATCACCGACAGAAATGATGTAGAATTTTCTATACACCTCGACAACTGTAGTCATTCATGTTTATTGAAGTGTACACCAGCCAAATTTAACAGTTCATGAGACAGGAAAGGGCTTGAAACCTTCCTCATGGACTTCCTCAAAACAAATACATTGTACATGTACACATATTGGTTTGCCTTCTTGAAAAATGGTAAAAAGGTCTGGGATTGGGTAAATTGTTCAGTTAGGCAGAATACAGTCCATGCACTGCATGTGTAACAATCTGAATGTAATGTCAAAGTACGCTCTGCTTCATTCTGACGATAGATGGGTTTTCAACAGGTCTCATTATCTCACCCTGTTTTAATTCTGTTCTCTTGTCACTTTGAATGCTTCCTTTGACAAGCCTTCTAGGCTGTTGGCTTGGACCAGAAGAGCCACCGGCCATTGGGGATCCAGTAGGGGTTTCTGGCACAAAGAATGGATCCATTCCCTCCTCTTGAGAATCCAACTGCTGTTTGCTTCCTGCAGCCTGGCCCCTGATAAAGTGATCAAAAGCAGGGTGGGGATCTCTACTAGTCCGCTGGAACATTTGGAGTTTAAATTCTGGGGTGGTTGTTTCCTTTTGGAAAGTTGTATCGAGTTGCAAATGACTCATTTCAATCTCAACTCTATCTGGTGTTTTGGACCTTTTTTGCCCGGATTCGGAGACAGGAGTTCTTATTCTTCGAGCTGGGGATGTCTGCTTATAGTGTGGCTCTATGATTTCAGTTTCGGATAAGAAGTGTACCCTAGCCTCTGATCCAGGACTTGGTGAGCGTGACTTGTTCAAATCTTCAGGTGAAGACAACCGCTGTGGTGGAGATGTAGGTCTTCTTAATTCAGTGTGCAAAATTCCATGGGTAATAGATTGCGGGAAGTTCAGGGCACAAACTGCATCTTGGTTGGTCTCTAATGTCCTAGAGGTTGACAAATCTAATCTCTTAGGGATCTGCTGTGTCTTTGTTGGATCTCTCAGAGATGATTTCTTGGGCGTTGAATGACTGGAGGGAGTCAAACGGCTAAACCGCGTTTCAGAAACAGTCTCTAACTTAGGTAAATGACTCGGTGCCAATGGTAACTCAGACATCGGGAGGACCGACCTTGAGCTTCTGTCTCCCCCTTTTGATCTTTGTTTTGATGACTTCCCTTCCCCTGAGGCAGTTTTTTGGCCAAGAGCTGAACTGAAATTGGATGCAGTTAGCTTCACTGGACTTGTTGGTACCTCACTAATCTCTCCATATTCCACATGTCTTGTGCCACTTGCTTCCTCATGCTCAAAGGCTAGGGAGTCAATACCTTCCTTTTCACTGAATGTTTTCAACAAACGATGCTGTCCATCTTTAGACATCAAGTTCCTCTTTTCTCTTATCCTGGCCTTTACTGCCTCTTTCTTACCAGCCACACCTGACTTTGAAGGCTCACTGATGTGCAGACTTCCTGTTGGATGATGTAAAGTTCTACATTTCTCATCCACCTCCTCCAAAGCTGGATCACTGTGAATGGCAGATAAGGGAACTGCCTTCCCTGGTTTTGGAGGTTCTTGGCCACTCTTAGAGTTTGGTGTCTTTTTGACATTCTCAACGTCAGGAAGCTCTCGCTTGATTCTTGATGAACTTTGCTGATGTCGTCTGTTATATGTGATAGGAGGAACTGCTAACCTATTGGGGGGAGACATTGGCCTGTTCAGTTTCTTTGGAGGGGAGTCCGCCTCAAGATCCTCAACTTGGAGCACAGGAATGTTTGGAGAGCTTCTGCTAATTTTGCGCAACGAAGAGTCCACCTTCACCTCTGTCAAGTCTGTCTTTGCTGCTCCTGGTAGGATGGTGTCCATTTCATGGATTTCAACAATATGAATCTCAGGATTGCTGTGACTGAGGCGGGATGACCGTGGAGAGTCATCCATGACTGCAATGGCCTGTAAAGCCTCATTCTCCTCCTGTTCGTCTTCTGGTATGCTTAAGGAAACTGATGGAATGCTTTCAGCGGAGTGGCAGCGTACAGTCTGTAGGTTGATGTCGCTGCTTGCTCGTTCATTTTCTGTCTCAACCTTCAAGCTCTGCTTAGAGGTTGCACGCAGGTTGGGGTTACTCACAGTCTTGTTACTGTACATCCCCTCCGAGACAATGATCAAATCGTTTGGATCATAGGAATGGATGTTGTCAGGCATGGTATAATTAATACACGGATGCAGGCCGTACCTCTTCTTCCGGAGTTTACGTACAGCTTCCTTCAGTGGCAACTGTAAATTTGCCACAGTAAAACTCTTGTTGCTGTACTTCTGCTTGACATTCACATCAATGTGAACAGTCTTACTCTCCACCATCTCCTTAGTAACATTCTTGTACTCAAGGGGTTTGGTGAACCGGAAAGTGCAAGGTAGGTATATTGCCTTGAAGCTCTCCCTTGCAGTTTTACGTTTGACACTGACAATGCTAGTCTTCATCTTTTCCAAGTCTTCTATTTTTGCATCCTCTGTCTTTCGTTTGGTGTCACCCTTTTTATCAGGAAGAAGGCGACTTCGGATGCTGACGCGTGTGATGCTTGCGACTTCAGCTACCATGGAAACAAGGATAAAAATGATGATCAGCAGTGCAGTTTGGTAGAGTGGCACTTTTGCGGATGGAGAAATCCAAGGTGCGCCTTTTACCGAGTGAGGTGTCTACTATGGGTTAAAGAAGGGTGCAGTTCTAATGCCAGGTGTGGTTCTACTGACAGGCTCATCTCTACAGTGAGATGGGTCAATATGGGGAGCCTGATTCTACAGACAATACTGTTCCTCCTGCGCATGCACCTCATGCATCTCCACTGATATGGATAGCGACATCAATACAGATGCAGTTCTACATGTACTAAGCGTGTGTCTACTGACAGGTACATTCTGTAGATTGTGGCTCTACCAACGGGAATGGCTTTACTAAATAAGCTGGCCTGGTTTAATTGAATACTGCAGGAATAAAAGGCACGCTTCACCTATGGAGTCTTTGTTACTATAGATCTCTCATTAGACGCTATCTTGTAGGAAAATTGCACCTGTATATATAACACCAACTGGTGCCTGTGCACACACTTAAAATGGTCTAAACTCACGCGGGAGCTAATCCGTATTACGTTTGAAATAAGGGGCAGCTGTGCACATCATGAAAATTGAAGTAAAAATGCCCATGCATATGATACTCTGCAGGAAGTGACGTCATTTGAGAGAGACCTATTTAATCCTCTCTCCATAAAATGCATTTCCAAAATCTCTCAAATTGTAAGTATGCAAAATGAAAAGTAACAGAAGCAATATTTTGTCATTGGTCATTTCCTGTGACGTGTCCATACATATGACTTGTGACTGACTCAACTACAAGTCTGTTTCACAGCCATGATTCGTTTGTATGTTTGCTGTGGCTCCTAATCTCAAATATCTTGCAGTTGAACATTCAAGGGGCATCGAACCTCAAGAAAAATTAGAGTGATTGGGCTCTACTTTCCTCAATCCTACAAACTCCTTCCAAACCTCCTGAATTATGTACAACGACTGAATAGACTCACCTGGTGGAAGCAGGATGTCCTCTAGTTGCCATACACGGATTTTCATGATTGATGTGTGTGAATTGTACTCAAATGACAACTGAAGGAGACCAGTTCCTGAGGATGCCAAAAACAGTCATCAATGATGTAATATAAGGTTTTAAGTGCAAAAAAGCTACGCATCTTGCCTCATATTGACTGCTGTATACAAAGGACAGGGTTAGGGTTGAGAGAATCAATGTTACAGCTTCCATGTAGTATGAAGGTTATTAACACAGATCAAAACTAATTTTCTCAAAGCAATGCTGGGACAAGATGTACACAGTTTTTTGAATGACAAGCTACCTGCATCTTTGTCTTGCTTGATGTTCATGTCATGGACCTCAATGGTATCCCAAGCAGTTGGTAGGTTGCTTTTGACAGAGGGTGTGGGGGAGCGATGTTCATTGACATTCTCCGAGACAGAATCCTTGCCTTTTGTCTCAGGCGTCCCATCCCTGATGACCTTGTCCTCGTTCTCACTTTGCCCAAGTTTCTCCTTGACCGAAGCTCGGATGAAATCTTTTGTCCCTAAGGGAAAATTTCAACTGGTTTTGCTGAGAAAAGTTGCAAAACTTTTTTTGCGTTGTTTTTCCATTTTTTAAAAAGGTTTTAGTGTCATTAGATTTTGTGGGTATGCAATAATCAGCTGTAATTCTTCAGCTGTTTGATCTGAAATTCTAGTTGAATTTTTGGTTCAAGGCATAAGCTTATCCCTTCCAACCTTCTGGATTATGATTTTAAGTTTATTACAAAGACTACCCCTGCTGGTTTCCTAGTTTACCACAACTTCAAATAACCACCAAATTTTCTGTGCATGTTTGCCACATACTTTGCTTGTCCAGTAACTCTCGGCATTTGCCAACAGCAACATCAAGTCCCGTCTCTCCATCGCCATTGGTAATGTCATAGCTACCTCCCATCTCCAGCAATGCCTCCAGGCATTCCACATGCCCCTCCCGGCAGGCATAGTGAACTGGTGTGGAGCTGTGCAGGTGATCTTTGGCATTAGGGTCTCCTAAAAATTTAAAAATACAAAACAAAAAAGTTATTAGTATCTGAGCGCTGTCATGAGAGACAGTGTCAAGAGCAGAAAAATGACTAAGGGGCCACTCAAAATTTTCAATGTTTTTTAAATTTCCACTTTTTTCGAAATAGTGGGTGGGTGGGTCAAGGAAATAAACTGAAATTGAAATTCACCTCTTATGTCAAAATCCCCCCCAAAATATTTTTCTGACTTGCCTGAAATACATGTAGCCTGCGCGCCGCGCAAACATTCCAAAAAAGGAATCTGTTTCAACTTCGTTCCCATGTACAGACAGGTTGACTTTGCATGTACATGTACACTGTCTCCACGTACATGCACGTACGTTGGAAACATCGTGAAAGGAGATTTTTTATTCTTAGACTTGAAATCTAGGCGTTAACAGCGATAATCAATAGGCCACACAAATGTGGCAGGGTACCTGGCATATTAACCTAACGATACACATAGAGAACACTGAACACCGGTTGTTAATAACGTGTTGCATTATACATTTTTACAGGTATTTAATTTGTATCAAATGCAGGTACAATGTACTGAGAGAAAAATCATTTTTTTTTAATCGAAACTGGGGGTGGGTGGGTTAAGAAAATTTGGAAAAAAAGGCGAAATTTAAAAAATATTGATAATTTTGAGTGGCCCCTAAAACGGATAGTTCTACAACAATTCTTTACCTTTATACTGGAGCAAGAGACTTAAGATCTCCAAATCACCATTACTAGCAGCTTCATGTAACGGACCCCATTGGTACAGACCAATTGCATTGGGATCTAGGTTCTCTTTTAGGGCGCTCTCCACCAGATTGGTGTCACCGTAGCGGACAGCTTCGTGGAGTTTAGTATCTTCAAACTCCATATTGGAAATGACAGCTTTAGACCCAGTTATCTACATTATGACTTTTGGGAGAAAAAATTGAAAACAATTATTTCTGATGGGTACCGCTGATTTAGCGTATGTCCCAAGCTGCAAATATTTTAATGGCTACAATTGTAGAATTGTAAAATAACTTGAACATTGTGCATGTACATTTAAATTATATGCATGACGTTTGAATTTCACACAGTACCTGAAACCCTTGACTAGCTTAAGCTTAAAAGCATGTGCATTTTCAATAGTTAAGGTGCCAACAATATAAATTTCTTTGCTTTTACCTTTTTAACTGTTAACTGAAGCTCAAATTTTAGTGACACCAGATTATGACAGGGTTGATGCACATGTGTACACATTGCCAATGGTGGATAAACATACATGTACTAAAATTTTTATTGTTATGATGTTGGAAGGCTACAAAAGTTCCAGATCACCAGCACACCTACCATGACAAGATCAGTACAAATCCCAAATCCTTTTCCAACATAAACATCTTAAGCCCCACAGGAAAAAAAACAGCTGATTCAAAGAATATGAAACTGAAAGTTAGGATTTGAAGTGATTTTTACCATGTTTACAGAGCCAGGCAAATTTGGTATAGAAATTCTATTTTCGTGAATTCGTTCTATATCGAAATATTGTTTATCCTAGAAACACCGTTTAAGAGATCATTTGATGCTCGAAACTAGACAACTAGATGCTAGAAAACGTCACTACACTACAAGGCGCTGATAGAACACCACTACAAAGTGACCCGGATCTGTCATGAATCGGCACGGCCGAAGGGAGCAGCCTGCATCACGTACAGTATGTTGTCTGGTTGTTGTAGAGTAAACACTATTTGTTAAGGTTGCCACTATACTGAGTGTCTTTCTTCCAGAAATACATCACATTTACAACGAGAATACATTGGTCCTTTTCCCTCACCCTCTGAATCCGCATAGTGCCCGATAAAGCACCAGCAATTTGCCGATCTCGAGTCGTACGTACATGATGTTGCTCTACTCAATTTCTACTCCGCTATGATGGCTGCCATGACGCCAACCTGTCAATCAATCAATTACCGAACTTCCAGATGTCGGTAACCACTAGTCACGTTCAAAACTGCACGTTATTATGGGTACCAGTGAAAATCTCAAAATCTGCGTTTTGGTAAACTTGACGACAAGTCGTTAGATATTCATGTTTTGTCCGTAAACTTCTGTCGACTCCAGTAGCACCATACTTGTTGGCCGAGCTTCGAGTTATCCATCCATAATTTGATTGTCAATCGTCTGCAAGTTGAAGGATGGAAATGTTTGACTACTGAAGATCAAAGCGATAATGTGTGTAAAGAACAAAAACAAACCAAAATCCGACTTGGCACAAAGTCTAGCTTTGTGCGAGAGCGAGAACACATGTGGGGCGGGGTGACGGCCAGGAAATCGACGGGGCGGGCTTTTTTAGGACTGGTTGTTGAGCGACTGTGGCTGACATTGTAAATTCCTCGATGTGATAATTACGATAGCCTTTTTACAGGTTACCAAGAAGTCCAGGGAACGGCCCTTACACGGTCCGTGCAATGTAGAACCCAGGCTTTTATCTTTGCGGTGCGGCGCCCACGGTGAACCATGGAGCCGGGTTCACCCCCACCTCAAAATAAGTGGACCCCGCCCCCATTTGATCCTAATTCCAGTAATAGATTTTGTACCCACAGTTTTTTAAACGAATAAAGTGTCAACTGTCCACTAATATCTTATTTGTATACGAAACTTGTACGCAGTGAAACGTGACTTGACAAAGGAAAGAAAACTAAAGCCAAGATTTCCGGTGCCCTTTAATTCAGGACTCCAAAAATTAAAGGGGCTCACACTTTGTCTCGTTTCCGCCTCATGTATTTGTGTAGGTTTCAATACAGGTCACTCTCAACCAGACTAAATGCATTTGGTCGGAAGAAAGAATCATGGGATAGAAATGGCGACTGCATCCCTGGAAGCGACTTTTGACCAGTAAATGTAATGGGAGAATTCAGCCCTGTTTTAAACTGAAATTTAACTGTTTTGGCGTTAGCAGATCACTGAGAGCCCACTTAATCTCGGCCGCACCAATGTCGATGCGAACGATTATCCTGATGGGCGTACGGATGGTGTTTTTGGTTGCATCAAAATTGTGGGAAGCAGTGTGTTATTTTATACGGAAAAATACGAGAAAGGTAACTTGTTGACGGGTTTTGGCCTGTCATTTTGCTGTCTTGTATTATCTTCATCGGCTTTTACGAAGTAGCTTTTACCCCTTTGGAATATCTGTATGTGTTATCAATGCCATTATTAGGACAAAACTTTACAGTTCGCTCGGTCATTGTCGGCCGGTCATTCAGTATGCCATGCATGTTCAGCCTTCCTTCTCGCCATGTTCAGCAGTTCGCTGTTTGCCGCGCAGGCCCTGTTCCAGTGCAGTGACAGTGTTGTTCAAACTTCAAACTCTTCCTACCTCCATGCTGAGTTGCAGAACTCAGTCATAGGGCATTAAGAATACCAACTGACAAACCAGTAATCTGACAGATGTGTGCATGGTGGGTGGGTATGCAGGTTTGAGTGATCATGGCGATGTGTAATTGTATTTGATCCAAAAATTGATGGCCACTTCTTTCAAAGCAAGTCATGAAAAGTTACTGAAATATTTATCAAGCATGTTCAACAGAATAACTTAACAAGCAAGCATTTTATCAAGCTTATCTTTCTCTTGAATTTCTCATGAATTATGTTGCCTGTATTGATATATCTGGTTTTTAAGATAAAATTAAGTCATTTGAAAATTTGTAACCACGGTAACCTCTTTATTCCAGTTGTGAAATTTAGCGTCAACGAGCGTCAACAAACATCAACACATACACGTAGGGTCAACAACTTGAAAATACCCTCGAAAGGTTTAAAAAAGGTTTTATCATATTTTAGAGACCCTAACATCTGCCACTGTATAAGAGTAACAGTGAAGCTGCTTCCAGATGTGCGGGGGCCGCCAAATTTCTTTTCTCTGCCATCCACATGAAAATGAGATGGTGGACAGTCAGGCAGCATAAGTGGGCCTGACTTTGTAGATCAAATTTCCACACTCAAATATCATTTTAGGTAATATGATACATTGAATGTGATATGTAGGATCCTGATTCGTTCGTTGACACTTACAAATGTACTGACACTAAATAGCCTGACACCTTTATTTGATATGTAGTTTACTGGAAATAATTCAATAATCGGTACAACAGTTCTTTTAAGATGGGTTGCACATGTAACACTGCTTTAAATCTACTATCTAGTGCAGGTCAGAGGGCCTTACAGAAACAATCCAGAACACGTACATGTATGTTTGCCAAGAGGATGTTCACTTCCAAATTAAAGAAGATTGCTGTATTGCATCATTTGGGAAAACAAACTTCCAGCATCATTCTTTGCTTTTCTTGTTACAGAGGTCAGCCACAGGACAACTTCATCTTGTGGTATTTCAAGCAAATTTCAGCCTTTGTATTTTGTTTACCTTACAGATTATTCAGTACCAGACAATCCGATATTCCAATGCCCCGCTTTCACCTCTTTCAAGACATAAACTCTGTAAGTAGCATACAGCGTCCCTTCTGTTGTCAGGTTGTGGGTGATTTTTCAAGGGTACGCGCAGCCTTTCAAGTTATCTAAACCGTCTGGTTGAAGGATTTGATGTAGGCTAGTGTAACAACTTAGGCGCTGTGAAAGAATGCGGGATTTTAGAGGGTTAACAGGAAGAAGGGTTAGTTGGATCTGATTCAAAGTTAATTTAGGTTGTCGATTCTTGTACCCACTTTACTGATTTGTTGGAGCTGAGCTGAGTGCTTGGGTTTCATGTAATTACATCCAACACTGGCCACTACCGGTAACGTCGCTTTACAATCTGTTAGTAGTTGGGGGTAAAGATTTTTATTTGAAATTATGGACATTTTAAATGGTTTGATATAAAGTGTAATATCCATTTTATGACAAAATGATAAATTCATTTGAATCTGATGCATTTTTGCCATGGTTTCTGTCATGCGTGTACACGTTTCACAACTGAATTCCAAACCTTGGTCATTGCAGCACTAGTCAAGCGCAAGATCATGGTGTTGGACTTAGATGAGACGTTAGTACATTCGCAGCATGCTAGTCTCATGAGGCCCAACAGGCCAAGTATACCACCTGATTTTGTCCTAAAGGTAAGCCTGGCTAGAGAGTCAGTGGGACAGAGGTTGAGCATTAGTAAGCTTGTCCCCAGGGGTATGTCAAATCTCTCCTCGATAGTGGGGGACATCAGTTCACACTTTTTTTGTGCACAACGTGTGTTTATTATCTTATTCAATTTATAAAAACTCAAAAGGGAAAATCCTCGATCCATCAATTCCTTTAGTATTTTGTTTTGCTTAAAACATGGAGGGGACATTCGACATTGTGTCTCCCCGTACCAAATTGATTGTGGGGAATGTGTCTCCCCCGGATTTCCGCCCATGGCTGATAGACTACTTGTACTTGTCTATAAGAGTAGAAAAGGAAAAAAGTTTATGCGTCAAATTTTGCTGCCCATTCAAACAGTCTCAGACAAGTTTAACCATGAATGCCAAACGTTCTACATTTCTCGTATTAACCTATGATAGCTTTAGAAGCTCAGCCTTGTGAGTTTTTTGTTATTAAATATTACAGTTTTTTGCTCAGGAATTGTGCTTTTAGTACTTGATTGATCCAAACTGTTCTTTCCTCCCTGTAGGTTACAATTGACTCACTTCCTGAGAGATTTTACGTTTACAAAAGACCTCACGTAGACTTCTTCCTGAATGTTGTAAGTAAACATCTTACAAATCACCCTGTGAAAGTTCTGATTGGAAACTGACTCTTTCGGACTTTATACACAAAGACATGCACAGTCTAGTGCAGTACAAGAGGTTGAAAATTGTCCATGTCTTTGAATTTGAACTTCTATGTACTTGAAGACAGAAGACAAATACATGTACCAGGAACAGATGTCTTTTGTGGGTAAAAATTAATTGAAAGTTGAAAGGTTTCTGAAAAAGTAAATAGATTTGGATACCATTTGAAGGTTTCACAGGTATTTCTTAGTAAATACAAAAGAAAAAATAATGACATAAATGTATATTGACATGGAACTGGTGACTTCTATTGCTGAAACCCCTTGCAGAAAAAAAGAGAAACAGATTTGCACACCATATTATGAATTTGCATATTTTATGTGGGTTTCGGGGTACTGACTACATGTACGCCCTTCTTTTGAAACAAAATTATCAAATTTCTGAGAAATTAATGGTAGGATCTAAAATTTTTGAAAGTGCATATACAATATGTAACTTGGTCGTATGAGTAATTTTGCAACCTGCTTTCAAGTTTCAAAATTCTAGCATTGATTTAGACATGTGCAACCAGGAAGTAGTTTGTAAGCAAAGCTTCCTCATTATATGTCAGTGCTTGCCCGCATTTTTAGTGACGTTTCTTCCTCTGTTCCCTGCTGAAGTGTTACGGAGAATGATGGAGTAAAAATGATCAGGAAACTTATGAGAGAAACTTGTATTATGTTACTGACAGAAATCAGATCATAAATTTTAGGTAATGAAGTAACGGTGTAGGGCCGTATTCTATTCACTTAAATGTTTCCGAGTTTTTGTCTTTTTGGTCCCAGCCAACAGAAATCATTTGCAGATGTTGGCACTGTTTGCTTAAGTTTAACTTATCCAAGACATATGCCAGCCTTTTTTTGGCATAGGATTTCAGATCATGTTACACCTATTTCCTCCATTTTCAAACTTCTGTTCTACTGTCATACTTTTTAGGGTGTGCAGGGAGCTTTTTGAGAATTTGTCCATCAGGGTCAAATATCATGCTCAAAGAATTTAGGATCAACCCTGTGCCTAGAAGTGAAAGTTGTTTGCATGTATTTTTCATTGATTTTTCCTGGGTTGATACATGTATGTGTGGACTATCATTTTGATGCAGGTCAGCAGGTGGTATGATCTTGTAATATTTACAGCAAGTATGGAAATCTACGGGTCTCCTGTCGCTGAAAAACTCGACAATGGCAGGGGAATACTTAGAAGACGCTATTATAGACAGGTAATATATCAAAGTGTTAATACAAAGAGGGAATAGAGTCCAACCTCGTTAATAAGAGCACTGTCAATACAAGATTCTGCTTATAGCAAGAAAATTTTGATGTCCTAATCCATTGTTTCTTATCGTTTCCGTTCCACTTAATACAAGGTTCCTAATATAGCAAGGTAATTGTCAAGTCCAAAGGACCTCTTATTAACGAGATTTGACTGCATGTGTATGGTGACAAGCTTAACATCTATGGTGGCACTGTTGGTCAGCAAGATAACATCTTTGAACTGAGTTAGGCTTTGTCTATAATGGACAGCTGTATCTGTGACTATGGCTATCGACTAAAGTGAGTCAGTGGTAACAACCAGAAGCCATAGTCGCAGAATGGTTGATTTGGACATTGCCTTTAATATCAAACAAGTTTCACATTCCATTGAAATAATAACCTCTTTTTTTGCTAGACAACTAACCTGCTTGATCTGTCCAGTAATAAATCAGAGTTTTAACGATAGTCATGTTTGTTCCTTTTGCTAACAGCACTGCACATTAGATTCAGGCAGCTATACAAAAGATTTATCAGCAGTCAGCTCAGATCTTTCCAGTATTTTTATTGTGGACAACTCGCCAGGGGCATACAAGTTATATCCAGGTGAGGAGTTTTGTGCGTCATTTGTTAGCATTCCAGGTTTCTGTTTGATTTCGGAGAAGCTTTGCAAATCTTAATTGATGTAGGCCATGTCAGTGCAACGTTCAAGGGCTTCACGCTCAGACAGTACTGCTGTAGTGCTTTTGCTGTTCATTACCTCAGCATTTTGTTCGATATCATTGCTTAAATACCATTTTCTGTTTTCAGACAATGGAATTCCCATCAAGTCGTGGCTGTCGGACCCAACCGACATTGGTCTGTTGAACCTACTCCCAATTTTAGACGCCATGAGATTTACAAGTGATGTACGGTCTGTGCTGAGAAGGAACGTACTTCAAGCCGCCCACAGAACATAGCTCCTCCCCCCAAGATACTTCCATTGGTGGCTACATATGTACATGTACATAGTATTATTATTGTCATAGTAATTTGTAAAAAAAAAGTACAAACAAAACAAAATACAAAGTTTATATAGATATTGTTTTGAACTGGTGGATGATTTTGTTGGCTTCAGGTCAAAGGTCATATCCTTTGATTTTGCTGGGTACAGCATCCATTTTATTGAGACCAATAATTTGGTTTAATATAATCCGCTTGCTTCATTCTGTTAAATTTCCCAGTCTTAAAGTATTTGTTTATTTTTTAACTTGAATGAAATAATTATTGGACATGACCGAAATGGCAGTTGGTACTATTTTGTGAAGTCTGCTCTACAAGTCATGTTACAACTGGGAATGAAGAAAGTCGAGAATTGGATGCTTTTATGTGTTACATCTTTGCAAATCTCTCAAGATACATGTATAAAAAATTGCATTCTTGCCAAAATCAAAAAGAGTAGTGGTTGTTGGCATGAAAGTTCATCCTTCAAATGTGTGTGGCGGTGCATACATGTACTTGGGGACAATTCATTAAAATATCTCTTACTACATAAGAAAAGATTATGTGAACTTGTAATTTGTGTTCAAAAAATGCAGGTCTCCCCAAATAAGCACAAACAATAATTGAATCATAAGAACGATACTCAAGCTAGATAATGGTGAAGTAAATTAGTAAACATCTATTCAAGCATGCTGCACGTTCCTGAAATATGATGTGATGTCTTGCTGGGTAGAAAATTCTTGGAGGAACAAAACTGACCAAGTTACAAAGGAAAGTATCAAATGTCTCGTGTACATTGTTATTTTATGCAACAGAGTTGCATGAAGTCCCATTAATTGGAAGCATTAAGGAATGTGTGCCCATTTACAGTTGTTTCAGAAGCACAAATCCAAGTTAAGAAGCAGATTTTTTTTTTGAAGACTGTAGATCAGGAAATGGCAGATTTGATTAGATTGTCTACTCTGATTTTATGAGATTTTTTGTGTTGTTTGCACGTATATTGCATTGCCTTGTGTGACATACATTTTGCAATTTGTTTTTGGTCGTAGTTGTCAAATGGTGTCATGTCTTCTCCTCTAATTTGGGGGGGGGGTCCGGCAGGAGGAGAGCTAGATGTTGCATTTTCAGTTTTTGAGTTTGTTTCATTTTTTCACCAAACAATATGATTTTATAAAACTCTAAAAATGGTGAGGCTTGGGTCCAAAAAGTACAACAACCAGTTGACTTTCAAGTCTGTGTTTGTTTTTACTTCCGTTTTGGGATTGAATTCATGCTTTTGTTTGCCCAAAAGAAACCATTAGAAAAACCATTGTAAGATACAACGGCTGTCATTACTGTGTACAGGTGTCGCTTGTATTTTTAAGATTCAAAGAATAATGAAACCTATCATATCAGGAAGACTTGTAATTAATAAATTCAACAACAATTGAATACGAGGAAAATGTCAGTGGTTTCTGTAAGAGATCTGCGTGTGATGAGTAAATTGAAACATATTTCAGAGAGGGAACTTATGGCAATTAATTATAATTAATGGTTGATGGCCAGCCTAAAAGACATTCACAATGTTATAAATCTGACTCCTAAAATATGATTGCGGAATCTAAACAGAATTTTAAATTGATTGACCTGTTACATGAAATTCTGAAAATCTTGAATTTCAGAATCAGAAATGATTCTAGTCACCTGAACACTTACGAACCAGATTAGAACAAAAACTGTCTAAGTACTCCAAATGAAATCATACTGAATACCAAGGGTGTGAACTTATGGAGAAAATATTTCAGTCAGTGTTTGCCGTTGAGGTCTTGGCACGTTGCATATTTCTGAACGGGACATTGTGTTCAACAACCCTGCAACATACCCAACAGCTCCATGCTGGGAGTGCCTAGAGGATTTGTTGAGATGTTGATCATGGGGGAGGTGGGGGTGGGGGAGGTGGGCCTGGGGTACCACCTCCACCCCCTCCTGGAGGAGGGGGTGGTCCACTCGGTCCAGGCGGTGCCATAGGTGGCCCTGTTGGTGGTGCCATAGGCGGTCCCATTGGTGGCCCTGCGGGTGGAGGTGCACCTATCGTGGGAGGACCCTGCTTCATCATCATTGCCATGGGAGTTGGTATCATCTCGTGCTGCGGAGCGGGTGGTCCAGGTGCCATAGCCGTGGGAGGGCCCGGAGGGGGCATGCTAGGTGCCATGGGGCCTGGAGGCGGTGGTGGGCCTGGCCCTGGAGGTGCAGATGGGCCGGGACCAGGGGGCGGAGGCGCAGCACTAGACCCTGGTGGGGGAGGAGGTGCTGGACCACTGGGTGGAGGTGGTGGTGGAGCCCCGCCCCCAGGTTCCGGGGGCGGAGGTGCGGACTCCGTAGCAGCTTGTGCGGCTGGTGGCGATTTCTTCTTCTCCTTTTTCTGTAGCTTTGCTTCCCGTTTGGCCTCTTCCTTCTTGCGTTTATTTTCTAGTTTCCTCTGCTTGATTTCCTCCATCACCTCTGGTGGCATTCCCTTCCTTTTGTATCTGTGCAAACGTCACAAAATAAGTACTGAAATTTGGAAACTGATTGTCCAGAATGAGCATTTGTTGTATTGTATCCCCCTCACAGAAGCACAATATTTTGAGTTAAATATTTCTGGCAATAGAAGTTCTGGGTTTTGTACCATGAACAACTTTACAGGATCACCAGGAAGAGTCGGTATATTATAAAATCATTGAAGGGATAAAAGTTGTGACAGACATTAAGGGTTTCGATAAAACCCTACTGTTTGACAGGAGAAAGAAATGACTAGGGCGTGTGTGGAGCACCTCAGGTCACCAACCTTTTAACTTCCCCTCTCATTGAGCACAAAACAGCACACAGTAGCAGAACTGGAAGGCCAATTGGCCAAAAGATAGCCACCAGCTGGATCTGATCTACGGGGAGAATAAAAAAAATGTTCTGGTTTCTGTTTTATCAAGTCAGTACTATTTGGGAAAAGCGTGTCAAATTTCAACAGTTAGCAATTTTTGAAGGACTTTCGAATAGCGATCCCATTGTTTTATAGTCCCTTGTCTTATGGTACAATTAAAGACTATAGGTGCTTGAAAGAAATCAAGACGCCGGATAGGCATACTCACCTTCGTCCAAAATGTGCTGTACAATCTGGTTCACTGCCAAATAAAAATATGTTTAAGAAAAGACACTCCTGAGCAAGTCTTACCATGAAAGAAAATCAAGTTGTGAACTTTATAGTATTTTGTCGTGTTCTACAGACATAAATTCAACTAGGGTTATAACAATCTGTAAAGTTAAGTTTGTGTTTTACGACAATAAATAGCGTAACAAGGGTTACAAAATTGATGGTGCCGATGGGGTTAAATGTTAAAAGTTCGCAAGTAGTACGCATGGTCGTAGTTGAAACCAATACAGAACTCTTTCTGGTCTTCTACAAATTCTGAGCCTCGGCACAAACCTTGAGGGCGTGCCGAGATACACCGTTAATTACGTCAATGTTAGCTCCTCCAGCCAGTTTCTGGGTAAACTGGCAAACAAACGCATGTTGTTTTCTCTTCCTTGCCAACATAACACAAAGTTAAGCACATGATCTATCTAGAGTCCAGACCTCATACCTTTTAGAACGATGGCTGTCATGTATACCGTGTGACCCGCTTGCTGAAAAGCACATGCGTAAATACCTTCGTCAGCCGCCGTCACAAACCCTAACTGCAGGTCCGCCATGTTTACAAGTTGACGATTGCCGGCTAGAAAATTAATTATGGGTGATCAAATGAAACAGTCTACCAGAGGTCTTTCAAGTCAGAAACAAGACATCACGAAAACTCTCCCTGTTCAAATTAAGTAAGTCCCTTTCATTCGTTTTTACAAAATTTCCTACAAGCGCAGTTCAACTAAGATTCCTTGATGAATGTTTACGTTAAGGCATATGATGTAGATGAGGAGTTCAGAATGTCTGGGCCTACCCTTACACTTACATTTACGCAGCTTTGGAACTTTAAAGACTTAAGGGGTGCTTCAGCACTAGCGTAGAGAAATAAAGAGACGGGGCCGAGTGCTTACACATTCTACCCAAAATCACCTGTGGCATCTACCGGTTGGTCGTTTCGATACCATTCAACAGAGGCCGTTGGGTGCTGTTGTATGTACCAATCAGCGAAGCAGTTTAATACCACAGACCAACCTGCCATCACTACCACCTCTTGAAGCGTTGTACTACCTAGAAAAGATTGTGTTTAGATGAATTAATTGGCTTATCACGTAGGAATGTTCAGATCTCGTAGACCAAAACTATTTCATTCTTAAGTTTCAAGATACTTGTTGGAGTTTCTTGAAAGAACGTACAATGGAACGTTCAGTCTTGTCAGAGATCAGAAACACTAACGACCTGTAATGAGCGTTTTCCTTTTGGACAGGATGAGAACTGCACGTTGAGGTCTCTTGAATTTTGTTTCTCTATGTTGTACTAATCTAACTTGTTTATTTCTGTTTGTTTATATTTGCGTAATTTGGTCAATGGACAATGCAATTCTTAACACAGTCCAGAGCTGTACCGCCGCATATCTGCGATGCCTGACACTTCCCGCTCTCCACGTTTTTGCCCATGCACGGCTGGCCGCCGTTGCTAGGCGGCGGCTGATTGCAAAGACGATCGCGAACTTTGGCCCCTTGACCACAGGTCACCGAGCAAAACTGCCATTCGGACCACTGACCCCAGCTACCGTCCACCACTGAGTAGAAAAGAAAAGCTAAAACGTCGTATTTTGTTGGTGTACAAACCCGATCCAAAAGGCTACCTTTTTTAAATGTCACATGACTTGTCTCCTGATGACGTCATCATCACACGAGGTCAATTTTCCTCTAAAATAGATTTTGTTAACACCATACAACTGAAGCGAATTTGTAAACGAAGTACGGTTCCTTCCAACTGATTCCTCTCGTGTCCCTCTCATATCAGGCCTGCACTGAGCACTGTGTAGGTCTCATTCATATCAAAAGGAAATGGCTCATAAATGAACAGTTTTTATTTGCCTTTATTTTACCTGGATTAAAACCCGAAGTTCCAACAGGATTTTTAGCGATGGGAGCATTCATTTCATAAGAGGCGCCTGTTGAATTACAAAGGAAAAGAAATAGCCTACAGATAAAAGCAGAATTAAAAATGTCTGATTATCGATCAGATCAAAATGTAAAAGTTTGCTGTAATTGCAGGATGATTTTACTGAGACGAAGTCCTGAGAATTGATTAAGTTTGACCCAGGATGATAAGATTCGTCTTTGATGACAGAGGCTGAATATAACAATTTTGTTCGCACTTTGGCAGTACATCATTAACGTGTCGTCTTTAATTTATAAATTTTATAACTGATAGAACACTAGAAAAGCTTAAAGGTTTGATTTGTCCCGTTTTTAAACGCTATTATGTTAGGTAATACTGTTAGTTAAATCGTTTGATTTAAGGAAACCAAGATTTACCTGCATCGGCGACTTCCATGTTGGGTTTATTTCTTGAATATGAGCTGGGGACATTGTATGGGATATCTGCAATATCAAAAGAAATATAAACTCGGCAAATAAAGGCTCTATGCTTATTAATGGAAATCTGGGTGCAATTCATCCAACAAAATCATCTTAAACAGTAGCTGAGCGTCTCCTCGCTCGGGGCCAAGGAGAAGTTTACCTTCTCCAAACTGCTGGCCCGGTCTGCCTGCGTTTGAATCGAAAGATCCGTACTCGTCGCCTGTATGGGTAAAATAACGAAAATGTAGATCTGTCAAAAAGCGACCGAACTCAAGTAAACTCTGGAACTATGAGAGAGCCCCCAAAAGCGCTGTATTTTGAAAATAGGCTTAAAAAGACATTTCATGCTAGAGGAGGATGTTAGCGTCGGGTAGGCCTGTATATGATACCAGTCATGCCCGTAGGCTACTTACCTTCTCCATTCTGTCCGCATGCAGGCCTATATATTGACAGGCAGTGCAGAATCACCAGCCAGTATACCTCATGGAGGTGGATTTTCGGAGCCATCATGTCCGTGCGCGAAACATACCGAGATGTTTGCTGCTATCGTTGTGGCCAATCGCAGGTGACTTATTTTTTTCGAGTTTTGTTATGCTGTTAGACCAACTAACGTCAGGACAACCAAGCAAGTAATATGTGGTAAGTCCATTGCGCAGTCCGGCCTACACCACAGCTGAAAGACATAAAGTTGGCCAATTTGAAAATCTGACGCGCGCAGCGCTATAATGACGCGGCGCTATCTGGGTTGCACGCGCGCGTCAAACTTCGTTAGTGCATTTGCCAACTGTCTTCTTGTGTGTCCTAGCCAGGCGGAACCAGAGGCGTATAACTAGGGGGCATATCCCCCGGCTCAAGGCTTGTTCCCCCTCACACCACTGGGATATTTAATAGAGAAGGGCAAATTTGGTACTAGTCCGCCTGGTCGATATGAACGTGGATTTTTCTGCGTTCATTCAGAACTGAATCTGCTTGCCCTGATGAAGGTACCCAGTTATCTTAAGCTTGGCAATTACATAACTCTAGGCACTAAATTATATTATATTTTTGTCTATATTTTGGTCAATATTTACGTGTCAGTGCCCTCTTCAAAAAATGAGAGCCCTAATATCCGCCGGGGGGATCCATGGCCGTTTTCCACCAAGTTTCAACAAAGCCTCTATATGACTTTGAACACTTTTACAAAAGAAAACCCGAAACAAAAAAACCACTGAGAAGACTGATATGGCGTTTTGCTTAATGCATTTTATTTGGTCTGTCGATTGACAAAAACAAAATTGTAACCATGCACGCAGTGTGAAACTTTTCAAGCAAAATTTTCTGCATTTTATTAACTTTGTGAAATTGAGCGAAGTCCAAGGTTGCTACTCTGATCTCGAGGTCTATCATCCCATCTTTTGATTTTTTTTTACAAAATCCGCACTGGTTTATCCGCGCATTAAAAGCCAATCATTTCAAATAATGTTAGTTTTCTCTTTTGGGAATCATGACATATATATTTGCTGAAAATGGTTAAGTTGTGACTTCCCAGCTATGCCTGTTAATCTCAGGTGGAACATTTCTTATTTGAATCAACGCTTACTTAACAGGAGAAAGATGGAAACCAAGACTGAAGAAAATACAATGTGTCTCTTGGGCAAAACTACACTCGAGCCGCTCTTTTTACTCTCACTTAACGGAAAATCGTTATCGTAGCCCATGTCAAAATCTCCGAATTGAGGCAAGTCAATCGAATCAACAGGCCGCTGGTTCTGGTTTCCTGCCATCCCCAGGCCCGCTTCGCTCATGGGCCCGTACGGCTCAAGGCCCGCCCCGTCGATCACTTCGTCCTCGAAGACTGGCGGCACCGGTGGTACAGGTCGTTGACCCGGAACTCCCATGGGGAGCGGAGGGGGTGGAGGTGGCTGCTCATACGGTGGGGGTTGGGGAGGGAGGAATTGTTGCTGTCTGGGCGGTGGGGGTGGAGGCGGCGGAGGCTGCTGGCGCCCTGGTGGGGGCGGCGGTGGGGGTGGAGGCGGACGAGGCTGCTGGCGTCCTGGTGGGGGCGGCGGTGGTGGACGATTGTGCATGGGATTGGGGGGAGACGGAGCTGTGAAAAAAAGGGTACGATGTATGTATATTAAAGAGCAACCATACTTGCAGATCATCTGGGTCGGGAAGCGTGTGTCGAGAGCACCCTCTTGCTCTACTCTCAAAGATGGTCATTTGTGGGTTTTTTGTTTGGACCACCCCCCAAAAAAAACTGGCGCCATGGCTTCTGTCCTTTTTTTAAAAACTATATGACGTACAAAATGTATAGTGTTTCCGCCTGGCAAGTCCTACCATTTTGGCCCGCTCCGCGTTGTCCTGAGCACGGTGGGTTGGCCTGTCCGCATTCTTCATCGACTTGTAACATTTCGCCAGCACCACAGTTTCCACCGAAGCCTTCCCCACTCGCTGGTACGCAATCTCTCCATCGTGCACGCGCTCCTTTCCCACAGGTTTTGTCGCACGGGTCCCATTGTGACCACTCGCCCCAATGATCGCCCGGTGCGGCCGACACGCCGACCGTTGATTTGCCTGGTACGGTTGAATCTACCGACAACAAGAAATTCATGATGTTGTAGGGGTTCATGCGTCACATTTGCTAGGCTATTACATGCTGATTTTAAGGCGGATTCAGAAATGGGTCTAAGCCCAACGAGCAGGGGTAATAATCCATCATACGGTACCAGTCATTTTGGCCCTTTTGACAAATAAAGTCCAACGTAACCTACCTTGCAGAACGATAGCAACCAGCAAATATAACAGAGACGACCACATCACGCACCCACGTTTTCTTTGGTTGAACATTTTCTTGCAACGTTTCCTCTAAAATCAAATCAGCCCGGCAAATACAATTAAAGAAGTTGCTGAAATGCCTTCTGGAGTCATCATGCACATACAAAAAGAACACCAGTCATCATGCAAGAATAAAACAGAACTGGAATACAAACACTTTGGTAGGCTCTGATGTGAAACAGAAAATTTCTTCTCTTATCGTACGCTACAATATTCTTCATAAACCAGCGCGCGCGTCGTGCTACGCGTAACGCGCGCCCAAGAAGCCGGCGCAGATGCGCCATTAGGGGAGGCCCCGGCCGGGAAGTAAATTGGGAAAATTAACAGAAGCTAGTCGGTAAGGATTTGCGAGGTAAACTTTAGGGTGTGGTTAATTTTGGGACGCAGAATTATTATGGCATTGTTTTATGTAAATTTTCATCAAAATATGCAGAAAACGTCATCAATACTTTCCACCGTTGCCTGTTGCCCCTAAAATGTTGACACAGCTTGTGTCTGCATCCAATAACACGATCAAGAATAATAAAGGGGGCACACGAAACCCCCATTTTAAGATCAGGTTCGAAAGATAAAGGGAATAACAATAAATCACAAAGTTCAAGGCACCTCAACCTACTCAAACTTATTTTATTTACACAATTTAGCAGTCCTTACAAGCAAAATGGATGGGCTATCGAAATAGCTTCACAATGCATATTAAGAGCTGATCTAGAATAAGTGGAATTGCGGTGATAAACAACTGACAGGGCGAGACTCTATCAATCCTTTTTAATTTCTTGTATTAAAAGGGAGGGCAAAATCTTTATTAATTTTGGCGTTGGCTTGCTTTCACTTCCACTTGTTAACACCAATGTAACAAGGAATATATTGTACTGAGGAAAGTTCAATAAAACAGATGAAACAGAGTGCTTTATTGGATTCTGTTTATTAACGTTCCTATGTGATATCAGCTTCAAGGCAGCAAGGGCAAAATGCTTCAAGTTGTATCCAGTCTTAATATCAGGTGACAGTCTTCAGGTGACTTGGTGACCATGTGATCTGTCATGTGACTTTCTCTTTGACTTTCTCCCGTTCTTTCTTCCTCTCCTGTTCTTCCAGTTTCCGGATTTCTTCCTTGAAGTGTGTGATCGTGTCTTTGCTCTGCTTCAGCCGTTCGTTCAGCTCCGTTATCTCAAATCGGATCTTCTTCCGGGCAGACTGGAGAGCAGTGACTGTCTTTTCCTCAAGTTCATTAACTGCAAGATTCGCACATTTCCAGATCAGTTACGAAAGAAAAAGCACAAGATTTCTCTCATTATTACAGAGGCCAAGTTCACGTACTAACTTCTCAATGACAGTGATGACTACTCTGTCTTATCAATGAATGCCACAGATTTGTAGCAAACGAACCACCAAGTACACAATAGCACAGTAGATAGAAAGAAAAGCTTCTAACGTCTAGAAAATACTCGGTAAACGCAAGTTGTTGGACTTACAATCTGTCTCATGTTTGTGAGCCCCTAACGTTAGAACTCTGGAGCTGCAGAGAAGTTGTTGCATCATGGCAGTTGGGTCCTGGAAAATCTGGGAAAGGAAAAGACAAAGATGAAGTTCAAGCATGTTTGAAGAAGAAATTTTAATGCTGGCAAATCAAATATTTTTCTGTTATTGTTGAAGTAACATAATGTGATTACATGGGCTAGTGAAAGTCAAGGCCCTGTGCATAAATTGCACTTCCCAAAGACATCTGTCCATGAAACAATTGAACAGGCGTTTCATCTCATGAAATCTTACCATTTCATCATAGTGTTCTGAAACCAGAGTCTTTTTACCTAGGAAGAGATTCGTGTCCGTCTGGAAGAGCTTGAGAAAATGATACAATGTGACCTGCGAACAAAGACAGAAGGATTTTTAATCTCGGCTCATTTAGGGATTGAATTTGTTTAGAGGTCTTAAGCCTACACAAATTTTCTGGCTGACAATTACATGTTAAGTGGATTGTTCAATCACTTACTGGTCTTTCGTTTGGATCCACAAAGAAGATCTTGATAATGATCTCAAACTCTCCCCAGCCTGTCTCCTGAACCTCGTAAGGTGGCTTCGTGACAACTGGTTCAAGAGAAAACGTGCGCGCGTGAAATATGAAAAGAATTGCTTGACAACTTGATGGATTAAAAAACCGAGAAGCTTCAAATAGTTTACAAAAAAGAGCCATCAATCTGAAAAAATTCAAAATGATAAGTACGTGTATAAGGCTTTTTAAGTATCTGGTGAATGTCCAAGTTGTGTTGTCATGGGAACTTCTGAAGCACATTTTTTGACAAGTATTCAGGAGACTCTTTGTTTTTAGGTATTTTTGTCGACAAAATATTAAAAATACCAAAACTCCTTTAGCATTTAGCATGTGAAGAACTTGAAGGTTACACATTTATACAGACGTACCATGAGCTTTTTTGAATTCTGAGCATTTCTGAACATTTATTTCAATGTCAATGTACTTAATCACCACAATGCAAGATTCAGAATAAGAAAATTGATAACATGAAGGTCTACATTAAAACTAGCGAATGTTACCGTAAATAAATACGACATGTAAAGGTAAGCACCGTTTGGCATTGAGTGAAGATTTTGTTACTGAAACCATTGGACAGACTAACAGCAATTTTACAAAGGGACAGAACAATAATATAACATTATATACAAGAGTACGGGACTAACGGTAGTCACATTTTTTGTAACATCAGTGCTGGGCTTTGCAAACTTAAACTGCAAGCATCCTTCATTCGAGGGTTAGGCTACTCACCTCTCAGTGGATTGGCATAACTCTCGTGCAGTTTAAACTGGATCTTTTTGACGTAAGTCGACATGTCCTGGAGGTGAAATAGAAACACCTTCAACTGAAACTTTGCATGATTGTCCAGGCAGCCTCAGAATGTGTCTGAAGCATTTAGAAACACAGTGCAGCTTGTGACGCGACAACTTAACAAGGGTGGTTCTTGGCTGTATAATAAGAGTTTAGATTGAAACTACCGTCAACCACCACAAAGTGGCAGAAGTTTGGACTGAGTTTGTACATCAACCAGCTTGAAGGTTTTCTACTTCAATCTCATTCTATTCTTCTTCAAATCCAATCTGGTCTGATTACGAGGACATCAATTAAAATGCAATTTCATACATGACCAGTTTCAATTTGGAAAGCTATTCGGTTCTAACCAGTGGAGAAGTGTTACCTCATTTCGATGTGGCTTGACGTAGATTGTCCACTGATGAGTGTGTCCATCCTCTTCACGTTTCTTGCCGAAGTAGCGTGAGATATTGCCATAGACGATAGGCTTGACAAGATTTATGCCCTGTGAATTGAAATGTACCCATAAAACAAATTTTATTGTTTTATTACTTTTGTCTTTCCTAAGCCCATCCCTTTGTGATGTACATTGTTGGCATGAATTAACAAAATAGTAGTAGGCCTACTCACGTTAAAGTGGCTTTTTTGTCAGTGTTTGCGCAATGTGACAATTGTCATCATTCAATTGTCATGACCACTGATGACTGCATATCATTATCAGTTTGTATGCTTTACTCTACATTTGAAATAATGAATGGGGCTTCAATTCTTAGAATGCTAGCAAACAAAAATGTTCTAGTCAACAACTCACAAATATTATATTCTCAATCAAAAGTGTATGACAATAGCGGTTATATTAATGTTCAAACCTTCACTCTACCGCCAGAATCGTGCCCATAGTCCGCCATTTTGAGGCTGCTCTGAAATGGAATAGCGCCCCCGTCCGGATCCATCGACCCAGCTAGGGACCGGGACTGACTACTTTATTATGACGCGGAAGCGCGAGCAAGACAGACTTTCATTGGTTCGTTGCGGAAAACGCCCAGTCAAAACCCACTAACAAGGCCAAGTTCAGACAGTGCAATGATTGGTTGGTGGACGGACAGCGCCCCTGTTCGTCCCACCAAATTTTGAAGCCATTTCTTGAACGTTATCTGAAAATTAGATGCTGTTTTAAAGAGTGACACACCAGCCACGATGTTCAGATTGCAATAGCTCTATGTTGCAGCCACCCAGTAGTTTATGTAAAATTTATTGATCTGCATATTAATTTCTTTTTCAAATGCATTTTACTGAAATAATGTAGTTAGTACAAGACGTTGAATTCTTTCGTTCCTCCATGCCCAATGCCCAAAATCTCTACCCTATCTCAAAAATTTATTCAATTTGATTTTGCAGAAAAAAAATAAATCCCACCAAATTTTAGTAAAAATGTAGAACGTTGTCCCCATTTAACCTGCATTTCAAAAAATCATACCATGACCTAAAATCGTACCTAAAAAATGACTAATGAGTCACGTTTTTAAGAAATGCAAACAGACAATATTAAATGATTTGCAATTATCATAATCAAGTATTGAAGTAATTTTAATCTTGTCATGAGCTAGCTCAGCCCAGATCACCCGATTTTATACGCTGGCGGCCTGCCAAGTGGCGAACGAATCGCGTGACTTTACGTCATCATGAATATTTAATTTTTAGTCATTGATGAAAATGAAAAGCGTGTACACAAAAAAAGCCTCGTGTGTGCACGCCAAACTAGACTACAAACTCCACATGGAGAATGCTGACGTATGAATTTTTCTTGACATGTCTGCCTACAATCCCAGCTTTTTTCTCCGAGAGTAAGGCAAGATATTTATCACCGACCTGACGTGTGTATGGTATGTACCTCGGTTTGGTTTATTATGTACTTTAAATGAAAATGAAGGCCGAGAAAAATGGAAAAATTGGGGGTTAAAATTTGTTGCCGTCGTTGTTAGAGCCGTGGGGGGCCGGTGCGTGGCGTGGTGTGGTACGATGTTTTTATTGGACAGCATGGAATCTCATGATGTTGACGTTGGTTTAGCACGAGAACATGCTTAGAAAATACAGTAATGCATGCTCATCCCATTTCAACGAAAAGAAATTGCGGAATAATTCAGAAATAAATGCAACATTGGCTACTTGGCATTTACACTGTCCTGTTGTGCATGGTCATAACACATTGGTCAAATCACTAAGAAGCTGAATTCTACGAGGGAAAAACCCTGCTGCTACAATTCTGACCTCTGCTTGCCGTAAATACTGTGACCTGGGACAAACGAAGATGACTCTAACATGGAGTACATGTACAAACAGTAACATGTCTTCATCTCTCTCTGGAGAGATTTGCTGTTGTGCTCAGTGCAAAATACTCAAGTGTCTTAAGAATGTCATATAAAAAACTTATGGATGTTTGTCGTCTGCTGTGTTGTAGAGAGAATTTTGTTCAACCGTGGAGGTTTGCTTCCTCCTGAAAAGTTCACTTTAGGAGGGAAAACACCAAGTTTACTGAGAAAACACGTGGTGTCCAGTGAGTGGCATCCGTACATGGAACTCTTTCCTTGTTTTTGTTTAATTTATGCAAAATTCCTGTTTGAACTTTTGTTTGGATCATGAGTTTCATTTTGCTTCAGTGTTCTTTCCTCTGATGGGAGCACAGCTAGGAAACATAC